TATTTAGGCTAAAACTGATTTTGTATGGGATTGTACTTAACTTACATTAAATTTCAGTTATTTTCCATGTTTAAAACAGTTCAAAGTAAAACGTCTTAGGCGTTTGAAGAGAAATTATGAATTAATGTTAACTACTTGATGAAATGAAAATTAAAGGAAATGAAACTATTTAGACAAATGCTACAGTTCCAGAAATAGGGACAGTATTAGTGGAAGTAGAAAACAGTACTCCATAGGCGGTACGATTTGAGAAGGGAGAATGAATTTATGGAAGAGGAAACATGTTAGATGATTTTAAAACTTAATATCCGAAGGTAAATACAAGGGGTGAATACAAGTGCACCGTTGTAACCAATTCTGATACATGTTACCTAACATATTTGACTATCCATATGTTTTGTGCATATTTACCTTTTCCAACTATCTGCTTAGAAGTAAATACCTATTTACGGACATAATTATTTATAATCTGCAATAAAGTCTTATTTATGATGTCGTTACTTTTAAGTGTTTGGTTATGCTTTCATTTTACTTAGAATTGTTGATAGTTGTAGAGGGTTGTTGGAGTCATAAACTGGTCTCAGTTAGACCACCGATGAAAACCAAGAGGCTACTGATAAGGGGACTCTTCAATGTGGTATGCATCCATGATCCAGCCGCTGGAGACCAAACACATGATCTCCAAGCTCATGCGCTAACCTATAATCGCTAGCACCCCACGAGTTGTAGTGTGCATGTCTAACTTCAGTCAATTCGTAATATTCCGTAACCATGTTCCATTGTCTTCGGTGGGTACCTTCCTTAAAACCGATATAATTGAACTTCACACTAGTCACAGTTTCTCATAGGAACTATTTATTTATTATTATTTATTTGAACACATAAATATTGGTACAAGAAGGTACCAAATATATATGTGCCACACTTTGTGTGAGGGCTGTGATTCATCTTTATAAAAAAATTTGTCTTTGCTTTACTGAAATTATGTAACCCTATTTTTGATATATTTGAGAAAGCTGACCAAATAGATAAACTATGTTTTATTTATACCAATGATTGTATAAGCAATAATTATGACTTAATTTCAATAGTAATTAATTGAAATGTTTATTTGTTTGTATATTATCCTTAATGTGTATTAATTTATGGACAAACAAATAAATATCTATGGCATTATACCTACCATTATACACATCTATATTCCCTTAAATGAGATTAATTTTATTTTGATTATTTTAGATTTCATTGATTGAAATCATGAGTCAATTGAAGCTAGACGACCATGGAAAACCTGTAAGCACTGAACGGCCGTTTCGTCCTATTTTGGAACTCCTCAGCAGTGCGCATCCATGATTCAGTGCTTCGAAGTTTTCCATGGTGATCTAGTTTCAATTGACACATGATTTCAACCAGTGAAATTCCTAAAATCTCCACAAAATCCCTTCTGATATTTTAGATTTGTTTTAATGCTTGTTGTTTTTAATTCATTATCACCATTGGTCTAACCCTCATGCTTTGTTTGTCATTGAAACAGCGTTAATGGTTGGTCAGTTTTTTTGCTGCTGCTGTTGTTGTTGTTGTTTTCAATCTTATTATCATTATTATTATTACCATTATGGACAGATGATAAAAAACAAATTGTTTATAATAACAACAACAAAACTATTTACTTGCTAATTAAGTTCTTACATTATTATTGTAATAGTTTCATTAAGAATAACTTATAACAAATATAAATATGTGTGACATAACAATGAAATGATTAAAATCTACCAAGTCAATCAATTGTTCATTCATGCTTAATATTGTTCTACTATGTATAGAGAAGGTCGGTAAGACTATTGTAAAGAGATGAGCTTCAAATATCTGTAACCAACTTTCAATCAATTATTAGATAGTCGGTAAAACACTCTTTGTAAGTAAATAGTTTATTGAAAAACAAACAATAATATTACAGAATTAGTAAAGCTGTTAAAGTCTTCTACGAATCACTACACTCTATATATATTAGTCCTAAAAATAAACAATGGTATGTGAATTTGTCCACTCGTTTATTGACTACATGTCTCTCTTCTCAAGCCCTTATAAAGGGATCAAGTAGACTGTTAGAATCCCCCCATATGGTTCATCGTTTGGGTTAGAATAAACAGTTTTAGGCTACAGTTTCCATCACAAACTGACATTAGCTATGATGGGAATGTGCTCTGTGATCATATGTATGGATAAATGAATTTCGGACGAAAATCCAAGAGTTGCTAACTGATTAGTTTGTCCCGTAGAAAACTGACTCCCTAAAAAACGCCAACCAGAAAAAAAGGACATCTGACAGATACATTCCAAGTAAGGACCGAAGTCAGACAAGGCTGTTTACTCTCTCCCTCTTTCTTCCGGTGGTCGACTGGATTATGAAGACTTCAACATCTGAGGGAAAACACGGAATACAATGGACAGCTCAGAACCAATTAGACGATTTGGACTTCACAGATGACCTAGCCATCCTGGAAGATGTAGAATCCTTCACATATCTGGGAAGCATCATCGATGAACAAGGAGGGTTGAATGCAGACGTAAAGGCGAGGATTGGCAAAGCAAGGGCCGCATTCCTACAGTTGAAGAACATATGGAACTCAAAACAACTTTCAACCAATATCAAAGTCACAATCTTCAATACGAACGTGAAAACAGTTCTACTATACGGAGCTGAAAATTGGAGAACTACAACAACCACCATCAAGAAGGTGCAAGTATTTATAAATAGCTGTCTACACAAGATACTCAACATCCATTGGCCGGATATTATCAGCAACAATCTACTGTGGAAGAGGACAAACCAACTTCCAGCTGAAGAAGAAATTAGGAAAAGACGATGGAAATGGATAGGACATACATTACAGAAATCACCAAACTGCATCACGAGACAAGCGCTAACTTGGAATTCTGAAGGGAAGAGGAAAAGAGGAAGGCCAAAGAACACAATACGTCGAGAAATAGAAGCAGATATGAAAAGGATGAATAGGAACTGGAAGGAACTGGAAAGGATTGTTCAGGACAGGGTTGGATGGAGAATGCTGGTGAGCGGCCTATGCTCCTCCACGAGGAGTAACAGGCGTAGGTAGATAAGTAAGTAATAAGGGACTAGTTATACCAGAATTAAGGGTTTAGGATTAAGGCGATGAGACTATAATTTATGAACGACCTTTTTGCGACACTGGACTGACCTTGAGAGTGTCTACCTAATAACTAGGACCAAATGAGGGTTATAAACCAGTGTGAGGAATTATAATTATGATTCACAGTTGGTGGTTAAAGTTAGGAATTAGATTTAAGGTTTTCATCACGAAGTGATATCAGCTGTAATGCCAAAACTATTTAGCCAAATAGATGAGTAAATTTCGCGCCAGAGTCGGAGACCTGTCATCCTAAATCTGATTGGTGCGCGCATGAATTATAGTCTCGCCGTTTAGTCTTAGGAATAGTGTCAATTTTCCTGTTACAAACAATTTAAGGAGAAAAGACTACATATTTGTTGTTTAATACTCTCAGTTTAATCTCGTGGTGACAAAACCTAGATATTTTTTATCACTATAAACGTTTTCAGCATTATGCAAGGATAAAGCCATTAAATAAATAAATAAATAATTTCTACTGTTCATTATGTACTTGGTATTTGAATTTCGCTCATAAGCCCAAAAACGTTGTTCTCGACTATGATTTGCTCATCCTTATAATCTATACTTTCACCTATAAATATATGTACTCTGTGATAATTACTAACGATTAAATACACCTATCACCATAATACATATTCACATACTTTATTCTTTGATTATAGAATTTGATTCTAACAAACTGGATAATGTGAGGTTTTGTGTGTATGTTTTAAATCATCGATGACAAACCAAATTTACAGGTTAAAGGTTCACTGTTTCGAATCTGTCAGAGAGCATCAGTTCCCTTAAAATTACAGTTAAACCTTGCTGACGCGTGCCAAATAGCCCGAAATTTAAGTTAGTCAGGGTTTCCTTTTGACTATCTCTAACCACCACCTTATATCTCAACATAGTGCACCCGATGTCGAAGACATTTGATAACTTCTGTCTTCTAGGTTTGATTGGTGTTTTGAATCCTTTATAACAGTTAATTAGTCTCCTGGATGGTCATCTGATTCTCCCACTGATATACAAGCTTCCTATAGGCAAGCTCAATCTGTTACTTGAATAAGTACCTAGCTTTTATAAACTAAGCTGAACGATATATGCATATATGTATTCCTCAGAAAGCTGGATTGAATCTCGATCAGTAGACTATGCTCATCAGCGTCTCCCACTTATCACTTGCCCTTGAGCGGATAAGCCTAACTGGCCGAGCGTATCACTAAATACCCCATATTCATCTTAATTATAATTATTTATTAGCGCGCGACTTGTAAATTTCTATTTTTGTAGTTCTGATTTAACACCATCTCGGTAGATTCCATTAAATAATTTCAGTAAATCAAATAAATTATTCTTTGTAATGTTAGACTGGTAGTGACCACTAGATTGGTTACTGTATCTCATATTGTCAACTATCTAGGTAATCAATGACTGTTCTGGGTTCTGGATTGTCAAAAAAATCCAGATTGTTTTAAAACAGAAACTGGATTGACTTTTGAATGATGAACCTAACCACTAACATTCATAAATAAAATGATGTATCTTCGAATTCTTTGATGAATCCACTGAGTAGTAGTAGTGGAGATTTGTAGCTCAGATGGATGATTTTCATAGAGTTTGTGCTGATGATATTGTTCACAATAACACTGAAAGCCCCACGATCAAACCATCCAGCTCAGAGAACAAAACTCCATCAATAGTAGTTGTAATAGTAGTATTTCACTGTATAATTTTCTATTCGTCTAAAAACAACCTTTTTCGGAACGGTAATATTGAAATGAATCATTACAATCTTATTACTATTGTACTGTTTGTTATTATTTTCCTCAAACTTCTTATATCAAGGTGGTCCACAAACGCATCCATTACTTACAACAACAATATCTGCACAGCAGGAATTGCAGCATCAAATAAACTCAAATCATTAGTTATGCGATTAAATATCAGTTAGTGAAGGTATACACTATGTGTGCGTGTTTATTTATTTCGCTTGTTAATCGGGTTGAATTTGTGCCGCATTTCTAACCAAAAATAACTAACTTAAGTTTTATTCTTGTCATTTACATTCTGGTTGCTCTCCTAACTTGATTTGTTTTATCGAGTACATCATTTTCTTCGATTCATGATTCCGTTTTTGCCATATTTTCAGTGTGTAAATCCCGGTGTATATCATATCAGATATTCATCTCTTGTCACGGTTACATTACTTAACACTTGTGTTTGCTATCCTGTGTTTTCCCAGATTAACCATAATTATTCACTATGATTTGATTTTCACACCATATGCTCTTTTCACTACTGTGCTTTTACGAGTGATCCATTTATTGAATTTCACTCTAATCATGTAATAATTATGTTGATTTGAAGAGTTGGATCCACATCTACTGTTATCATTGTCATTATCCACTGCTTGCTTTAATTGTATAATAAACTATTGACCAACAATAGAATCCTATTTAAACTAGATCGTTAAACTAATTAGATAAAATTATAATGTTATTTGTTTTGTGCAAATTGGTTGAAAGAAATCGAACAATGTAATCAACCATACAAGCTACCTCATAAAACCTAGTTCCAGAGCCTACATTCAACTGTTCCAACTATCGCATACCACTAAAACTGCACGGATTGTAATATTGATACACTTATATTAATAAAACTCGATTAGCACTATAGAAAGAATATTGTCATATTGGTTTTTAAAGAATCAATTTGTGATGTAAATTTTTTTTTACAACGAGAAATCAGTCGCAATCCGAATAACTTGATGCTAACTTCCTGGACTGTAACATTACATGACTCAGATTAGAATGTTCGAATCGACGTCCATTCCTTCGAGATTGTAGATATTGGTCTTGTTACTGAATTCTGACACTCAATAAGTTAACATTCAGCGGAGCTCCCTGCGGCCTGCCTCCAACTACATTACTTATTCATTACTTATGGAAGGTGTTTATATTATTTTTTAAATCCTGCAGTAACGAACACTGCTTCTCGTCATACCTGATGGTTAAGTGCTCGCGCGCGAAGCCAGTAGGTCCTGGGTTCGAATCCCGCGGGGTGCGGGATCGTGGATGCGCACTGCTGAGGAGTCCCATACTAGGACGAAACGGCCGTCCAGTGCTTCCAGGTTTTCAATGGTGGTCTAGCTTCAACTGACTCATGATTTTAATCTGTGAAAATTTCTAAAATCTCCGCAAACCCCTTCTGATAATAATCATCTGCTCACTAGTGACTGACTTCAAGAGATACTCCTGGAGTTCTAGTGGGAAGCCGTTACCAGTGGAGTTCAACCAGGTCTGTTGTGAGATATCAGCTCACTGAAGACAATGGTATATGGTGGCGCAACTGCGTGGATTGGTTGAAGTTAGACATTAACACCGTTGGATGCCGGCTCAGTGGTCTAATGGTTAAGTGCTCGCGCGCGAAGCCAGTAATACCTGAAATGGTTAATCAATTGAATAATTTATTACACAATAATGCTTAGCATAATTTATTTATTGACGCTCAAATTTGTCTAGATATTTAATTCCTCTTGACAACCGATTAATTATCGAATAGATTGATGATTGTGACTAGTAGTGGAATCCAGGACACTGCATTTCATCCTATTAGGGATTTGTCTGGATATGGTTGGAATCTACTGCTAGTTACCATCCATCTGTTCCATTGGGGATTAACCTTAGCTGAATTTAATCAAAGTTGACTGGCTCGTATAGGGAAAGAGACACCTAATGATGTACAACTTAATTTGTTTATTTATGTGCATAATTTACACTTACATTTTGCTTGCGCTTATAGATGTGTCACTAATAAAATTACACTGTTTTTTTTTCATATATAAAGGTAAGAACGCTATGTAAGCCTATTTCCACAATTTACGTTTAGACTATTCTTCGATGTGTGTGTATATATGAACTTAATTGTTTATTATTACTATTATTTTTACAGGTTTCTTGTGTGAGAGAGACTGAAAGCTATTAATTTATATTACACAAGTAGTAATAATAGCGTTAATTAGTAAACTAAACATTGAACTGCCCAATGTGTGTTTTCCTCCATTTTTATGGGATTCCATTTTTTGATCTCTTCAGACTATGTGTGTTAAGTGATAGTGTTTACTTTATCAATCCAACAAACGCCGTCGCAAATTGATCACAGTTGAAATTGTACTATTGGATTTTTACCCGTCCAGGAGTCGAACCTGCGAGACTTGATGGTCATAGGTCCGACCGTGATGATTTTATGTATACACTGCTGAAGAGTATTCCAATACATATTAGGGTAAAACAATTGTCCGATACTTCCTTATTTTTGTGGCATTCCAATCTGTAAGGAATACGATCCACCTACATATTACTAACCCCTGAATAATAAATAGTAATAATACTATTAATAAGGTCACATGGTTTTGTTTGCTTGTATCTTCCCATTGTTATTTAGGACTGCAGTTGATTATTCTCTTGTTAGCACGTGTGTGTCTTGTACAGATTCTCTCGATATTGCCTTAAGTCAAAATCTATATAAGCAAAGACGGGTGGTGGCTAATAGTGGAATCCATGATGCTCATTTCGTCTTATTTGGAACCGGTCAGCTGAATGTACCTGCATCCCAGAGTTGGTGCTCACTCCGGGAAGATACAATCAAACAAAACCAAGCGGATTTAAACTTCACCTCATTTCACAAGCAGGTGGCTATCAGGACTCAGTAGCTAAGTGGATAACGTGGTAGCGTTTGAATAGAACGGTACTGGGTTCGAGCCCCCGAGTGATCACAAACACTGGGGTGCAGGCACACCCAGATGACGAGTCCCAAATAGGACGAAACTCGCTCCGTAAATTCCAATGCTAGCCGTCATCCATCTTTGCCTATAATAATAATAGTGATAATAATAATAATAATAATAATAATAATAATAATAATAATAATAATAATAATAATAATAATAATAATAATAGCTATTACTGTTGTTGTGATAAGTTCAATGCGAGTCATATTGATACTGCACTACATTTTACTCTATAGCTGTGCAATTACCTACAAAGGTAGAAAAAATGTGTAAGTTGCTGCTTTTTAATCGCAGGTCTCTTCTAATGACTCCTTGTATGTGTCATGAAACGATCGAATCAACAGTGCCGACTTTAGACATAGAATACTAAATAAATTTAACGGACCTGTTAATGGGATTGCAAATCTTCATCTACTGAGGTGGTTCGGGCAAGTAGTATGTTTGCAAAGCTACTCAATATCTCGACCTTCCTTATTGGAGCTTGTATTAGGATTCTGTTGTAACAAAGCTATAGGCGACCGAACTAAAATATGGTCTCAATTTATGAAGTCATTCACTGACCGTCGGTCTGAGCCATGTTGTTAAATGTAGATTACTTGGTTAATAAGGTCCATGACATAACTGCTATCAATGGTTGGAGACCGTTGGCTATATGGCTTAGAATTATTTACAATGGAGATAATGTTTTCAATCTTGACTTCACTACTATTTCATTATCTTTTTTATTTCATCTTTTCGGACAACATTTTCAATGTTCAGTCTTTCTCATTATCATCTCTTCTACGATTATTTCAACTTATTAACTACTCAACTTTAAATTTATCCCACTGTACTTATGCTGTAAGATATTTTTGGCTAAGACATATTTGTGTCAAGCCGTAAGATGAGAACGACTGACTGATTATCAAGTTTAGTGTGGGATTGGTAGATATATATGGTATATTTATCTTATCCAAAAAAAACAAATGTATTATGTTTTGTCTGCGTAGTTGATGTTACTTATCACATGGCAGCATATAATTGCTGTGTTCACTTAGTGGTTAGTCCTCTCTATATCATCTGCGGCCCTTTAGATTTACTCTACGAATGAATAAAAAACGAAATCTTAACGCCTATCAACCCTGGATCTACATCCAACCTAGTGTCCAATCAGAAGTTGAAATTAACAAGCAGATAGCTTTCTCTAGGCTGTAATGTACAGATGACCTTTGGGCGATACTAAAGTGACCTCGGAAAATTTCAACTACTTACTAGGGTCAAAATAAGACTATGAATTAATTAGTTAAAGAAATTAAGTCAAAGAACTTAAAGACCAGAATTAAAGTAGAAATTTTCATCACAAACTGACATCATCTATAATGTCAAAATGTTACTAAGCCCATATTATGGGTAAATGAATTATGCTCAAAAATCCAACAACTATATGAAGTTTGATTGGATCATCCATAAATAATGGTTCTCCAAAGGTATATAATAATAATAATCTGTAAAATGGTTCCCAAGTATTACAGCTATTACAACATTCGCATGTTTGTAAGTAAAACAAATAAGTCAGTGATTTATACTCTAGTTTTCTAGTTTTTCTTCTCTCTCTTAAACTAGTATAATGATCGGTCAGCTGATGAGATCTAACCCGTGATGCGAAATAATGTATGACTAACTATTCTATACAAATGGTCACTTATATAATATTTTTCCATCATTTTCATTGTATAATATGTTATTTTATTGTCAAGTTATTTGTTGAGTTTTTTCTGTAAAGACCATCACCCTATCCGAATCAATAATTGAGGCTTTCTGGTTCTGGCGTAAAAACTAAATATCCTGTATAACAATAAGTAGTAATACGTGCTGAAAGCGTTAAAATGATTGTGCAAATTAATTTATGCCACCTTAGAATGAAATGATAATGTCAAACATGTCAAATGATCAATTCTGTTTCTGTGGGTCGTTGTACCATCCTAACTCCAAGCCCTTAATTCTAAAACAAATAATAACCTATTGAGATCATATTTTATGGACGAACTAATCAGTTAGCAACTCTTGGATTTTCGTCCGAAATTCATTCATCCATACATACGATCACAGAGCACATTTCCATCATAGCTAATGTCAGTTTGTGATGGAAACTGTAGCCTAAAACTGTTAATTCTAACCCAAACAATGA